GAGACAACAACGTGTCAGCGCCTCCAGATCAGAGCGTTTCTTCCCAACGTTCATATTAATCTGCTGAACAGCGGTAATGAACACGCTCCCTTTTCTTTCCCCAGGAAACTTGTCACTTGTTTGACAGAAGAAGTCGTTTTTTCCATCTTGAAAACGTCGATGCCATCTCCTGTCGTGGACATTTCTGGCTTTATTCGCTGTCTGCTGATGGTTTCCTGCTGAACGCACCTCAGCTCAGAGCCTGTCTGGAGTTCATTTAAATGGACCGTCTGAGCGAGAAAAAGTTTGATGTTGAAGTGATCCAGAAACACTGAGATTATTATTATTATGTAATGTGACGTCTCACATTGCTCGCTACAAAAGCAAAATACGTGTCTTCGCTCCGTTCAGCTCCTAAACCCTGGAGGAGACGCAGCGACTCTCGCAGGTTGAGAAAGTTGACAAAATGCTTTTCCTGCGGTGCAGTCGGACCAGATGTGCGTCATTCTGGGAATTTGGGGACATCTCTGCTAATCTGGGCTCCTTCCAGACATGCAGCCCTGATCCCGGCTTAGTATCGATGCACCGAGCAGCTTGTGTGCGGCCCGGTCCGACTCCGTGTCACTTTAAAGTATTTGCTGTCAGAGCCGGTAAACGTCTCAGCTGCACATCTGCTATTCCTGTCTGCTCGTCTGTCTCTTCACATCTCCGTCTGAGGCCTCCGTCAGTCGCTGTGTCTCTTCTGTCCTGATTCTGCTGATTATCTGACAGCTGCTAATAGAGAGCTAACGCTGTGCTGCTAACAGGCATCAGGACAACAGCAGCTAAACGAGCTCAGATCCTGTATTAAAGTAGAAAACACCGTCTGGTGAGCACAGAGGAACTGTCCAGTGTTCTTGTCCTGAAGCCCTAAACTTCAGTTTAATGTCAGGCTGCTGCTGCAGAACAAAGCGAGGATCCGTCTGTAGTTTCTCAGTTTCTGCGACGTCAATGTTTCAAAATGCAGATTTTATTTTTTATTTTGCTTGTACATGAAATTGACTCGGGCTGCAGGTGGATCAGTGGTTAGCACTGTTAGCGCCTCACAGCTTGAAGGTCGCCGGTTCGCATCCCGGTGAGGACACCCGGGATCTTTCTGCGTGGAGTCTCCATGTTCTCCCCGTGCAGCGTGGGTTCTCTCCGGGTTCTCCGGCTTCCTCCCACAGTCCAGAAACATGCTGAGGTTAATTGGTGATTGTAAATTGTCCGTAGGTGTGAATGTGAGTGTGCTTGGTTGTCTGTCTCTAAGTGTAGCCCTGTGATAGACTGGTTACCTGTCCAGGTGAACCTGCCTTCACCCTGAGTCAGCTGGGATAGACTCCGCCCCCCAGTGAGGATGAAGGTGGAGAGATGATGATGGATAAAGCTGCCGTTTTGTTTTGCTGTTCTTTGTCCTGTTTCTCAGCTTCAGCTACAAAAACTCACCTCAACTCAAACGCTCTCAGAACATTCTGGGAACCAAATGTCAGTAGAACTTTCTCAGAACCTGGAGGAGAAGCTTCCAACACATAGCGAACAAGTCACACTTTAAGCCAAACCAGGACATTGTTCCAGAACTTAGCCAGGTGTCTAAACCCAGCCGAGCTTCTAACACGTAAACGGGTCCGATAAAGTGAGATGTTGTCCAGAACCGAACCAGAAAGAGACTGAAAACAAAACAACTAAAGAAAACAAACAAACCTGAACTCTGGACTTCCGGGTGAAAGTTTAGTTGTACAGTGACGTGATTCGACGTGACCCGGTCACAGTCTGAGCAGAACCGCCGTCTGCTTTTAGAGTCCACATCTGTCAGAGCTGAACCCAGAGCTCAGCGTCCAGGCCCGAGGCCGGAGGCTGGAACTGAGCCGACGGAGACGTGAATCCATTCGAACCAAAGTCCTGACAGCCAGTCGCAGCGCTAACGCCTCGGGGGAACCAAGTCTACGGGTGGGCCCAGTCTGACAGAACATGGATGGAGCCGGGACCGCCATGCCAAAGGTCACATCGACAGAATCACCAAACTACTTCTGAACCCTCAACAGGCACGACGTCTCAACACAATCAGCAAAATCGGACCGTTTACCAGAACCAGGATCCGTCAGTGGCTGAAATAATCATCTGTGATGTAAACAAACTCATCAGAACCACCTGGTTCTACGTGCGGTTCAAAAATACGCCCCAAAAACAAACTAGAAGTCCTGAGCTCCTGGACTCAACAAATACGAGAATAAATTAAAGATGTGAGCAGTTTAACATCTATTGTCTGTGGAGTCCAGTTCTGGTTCCGCCTGTGGACTAAATGCTGTTGGTTTGTTCTACAGTTTATGGACTTCTATCCGACTCAGAACTCAACACTTTATCCTCATTACGCCTCTGATCCCCAAAACCGGCCGACAAGTTTAAAAGGCGTGTTGTTGTTTAAAAGAGGAACCTTAAAGACAGAAATGATGTCTGAAGTTTCAGCTTTCCAACAGTCCTCGAACTCATCACATGTGAGGCGAGGTTCTGTCGGGAAAATGGACCAAATCTGAGCTTTAAATCTGCGATATTTCACCAAAATCACTTCCTTCCACATTTCTAAATGAAGACAAATGGTACAAATGAACGGTTTGTTAAGCATTAAAATCTAAACAAAACCAAAAGGTGATTTAAACGGTGTTTTTCCAGACAGGTTCCACTTCTGCTACGTGGAGGTTCAGATCCCAGAGCATCAAACTGCTTCTTTCTCCATTAATGAAGCTTTTCTGACAAACGTAGGGTTTAAAAACCTTTTCCTGCTCGTATACAGCTGAACCCAGAAGCTTACTGGATAAAAACCTGAAAGTAGAAGTTTAGAAAAATCTCTAAAATGTCCCTGGTTCATGAGGAACAGACGGAGTAAAGCTGCAAGAAGAACCATAGCCATCGGCTCCAGAGCAGCAGCGTCAGCGGTACTCACCATGGTGGTCTCAGCGATGGAGCCGAAGCTGTTGATGAAGATGTTGCAGGAGACGTTGACCGGAGGACCTGCGGGGAGGAGGAGGAGACGGACGGATCAGATAAATAATGCAGCGTATGTAAGAGGCCTGTTCCTGAGAACTTCCTCCTGTCCTCCAGCAGCTACAAACCGCCGAGTACCGCCTTGGGGGCGAATCTCAGATTTGTGCTGAACAATTAAACCTGCATCCTGTGTGGGAACGTCTCAGCCTGAAACCTTGTAGAGCAGAACCGAGGCAGAGCAGCAGCAGCAGCAGCTTCTGTGTTCTGCTGAAATGAGCGCCGGACTGAAGGTTCCTCAGCTCGCTGCTGGGAACCATGAACCCCTGGAGGAGCTTCGTTTGTGACACAACAGAAAGCGTAGAACCTGGAGGAGCTGTTGGATGTTTAACGAGGCTGAGGAGCAGAACATTCTTGTGCAACTCAAACCAACACTCAGAAATCGTTCTCCAGACGCTCTCTGTGAAACGTTCCTGTGACGTGAAATGACAACAGAGGTGGAACACTTTGTCAGACGTTCTGTTCCCCGTCGCCGGTACCTTTGAAGTTGGGTCGTATCCGGGCGTCGTATCCTGACGTTCTCCCCATCAGCTTGTCCAAGAAGTCTGAGGGCGACATGGGCGCCTGCCAGGTTCTGGCTGCGTTGTCCGCCTCCTTACACCGGACCACGCTGCAACACAAACAAACCACAGAACACGTGAGATCTCGGCGGCGGGACGTTCCCGCTTCCTGTCGGCTGACATTACCGTTACCGACGAGCTCGTGACAGCTTTGATGTTTGCTTCCCAGAAACACCTGAGACCAGAAAACACCTCGAGGGCAGAACCTTCAGAACGTCGTCAGGCTTAGGTTCTGGACAGACGGTCAGCGGAACGGTTGGGGAACGTTTCACAGCAGTGGAGCCGTTTCTCACTCACACGGAGGCTGACGGTGGAAGAACTCCTCAGAGGTTCTCCAGAGAGCCGGTCTGTGGGGTTTGGGTTTTATTCTGACGTCTCTGTTCTCATCAGAGTAAAGCACTCGTTTACAAACAGGAAGTAAACAGGAAACATCATAATTACACATTATTACATATTATAAACATAAAGGAGCTCGTTGTTGGCGTCACGAGTCGTTCAGCAGAAAGTCAGACGAGATGAACGAGGAAGAGCTTACACAAATATTATATTATTTTATATTTTATTATTTTATATTGTATAATATTATATTATTTTATTTTATATTATATTATTTTGTATTATATTATTTTCTTTTATATTATATACGTGTTGCAGTATTTCAATGTTCACGATTACAATAATAGTGTGATTTAACAATAAATAAAGGTTTAAAGTGTCACTATAACTCTGACTTGACTGAACTGTGATTAAAGCAGCAAAGACCCACAAAATGAATAAACAAATACGCCTTTAAAACCTAATTAATGCTTTTATTTTGCTAACTTTGCCCTTTAATGTTTTATTATCTTAACTTTTTTCTCACACTTCTGTCGTTCCAGTTGTGTCACTCTAAATTCTGATTCGGTAAAAACCGAAAAGTTCTGAGCTCCTCGACCCAACCGAGCAGCCCCGACCGACTCACGTGTGACCGACAGTGAGGAGACGTTTCAGACTGAGCTGGAGCCAGCGTCCACTCAGAGGAGACGATGAAACACGTCAACAGCTGAACATGTAGAGCCTGTTGGAGCCGCTGGTGGCAGCAGCTCTGGGCTGGACACGTTCACGCCAAGCTTCACAGTTTTATAACGTGAACAGTCAAAGAAATTAAATGTAGTTTTTCTATTTCCTGACCGTTCTGAGTCCTCTCTCCTCCTGCAGGACTCCATGCTGCTCAGAAACGTGAACCTCGGTGAGTCAGGATGACATGAACTCAATAAAAACACGTCCAGGAGCTCCTCAGGGTCAGAGAGCCACAGAAACAGAGAAACGTTCTCAAACTCAGCCTCCTTTCAACAGTTGCTCACGGCACAAATACTCCCACCGTGGGCCACGACTCAGCTGCACAGAGTGTGTGTTATCGTCATGGTAATTACCCCACATGTAGGCCTGACTCTGTGTGTGTGTGTGTGTGTGTGTGTGTGTGTGTCTGTGTGTGTGAGAGCTCCTAAATGTCACAGTAAAGCCTGATGATCCTGAAACTACACTCGTGTGTGTGTTTGTCACTTGGGACGAGGGAACTAACACCACACACACACACACACACACACACACGCACGCGCACACACACAAACACGCACGCACGCACGCACGCACACACACACACACACACACACACTGGAGTGCAGTTTCAGGATCATCAGCCTTTCCGTTGGCATTTGGAGGCGCTGAGTGTTTATCCAGCAGGGAGTCGCCTTCGAACCGTCCCGAGGACCAGGAGGCTTCTGATTGGTCGCCTGTTTGACCTCCGGTGACCCGGCGCCGCCCGACGTGACAGACGGAGACGAGAACAAGCGGCGCTCATCTATTCGGAACGAGCCGAGGGAGACTCGGAGCAGAACCGAGACGAGAACAAGTGGAGCAGAGTTCAGACTCAGGACATGAAACTTCAGCAGCAGAACCCAGAATAACTGAGGGTGCAGCGGAACCAGAAGGTTCCACCAGATGTTTAAATGGTTGATTTGCTGCTCTGACTTCACTAGAAAATATCTGCAATTTAACAAAACAGGAAAAATCTGGAAAACAGCTCAACAGGACTATTATTTTTTCTTTAAAATAACAGCAAGTATCTGCAAAATAAAGACATTTATCACTAATTTAAATATTATATTTACAACTAATGTATTTATATCACATCGTATTTAAATGTTTTTTCTGTGATTTTACTAGAAAATTAAAGTATGATTTTTCTATTCATGAATCCTTAATCAACATAATTTTTTATTTCAAATAACGATAAAAACCTGTAAAAATAAACAGATATTCAGCTGATTTACATGCTTATTTTTCTCTGCTTATTTAATTTTATTGAAAAGCACTTTGTAACACGTGTTTTGAAAACCACTCTATAAATAAAGTTTATAATTATTATTATATTTATAACGATTATATTTATATGAGATAATATGGAAGTATTGTTTTAAGTTTTGTTTTATTTTTTAAAACTATTCTTTTCAACCATAATTCAAAAGCAACATCTTATTTCACTAAATTATAATTTAGCAAATTTTTATTTATTATTACTTTTTCCAGTTTCTAGTTATTTGAGTGACTGATGTGAGTTTTGCCTTTTCTTTAATGGGATCTGAGGACGACTGTATATATGTATTATTTACAGTTACAAGTTCACTAAGGACACGTCAATTCAGTCTACAGTATTATTATTATTATTATTATTATCATTATTACTATTATTATTATTATTATTATCATTACTATTATTATTATTATTATTATTACCACTGTTATTATTATTATTACATATCATATTGGGGTATGTTTACATTGTAAAGGTAAAATGTGGATAAATTGGGACTGGAGGTGTGTCACTGGTTGAACATCTGCTCATCAGCAGGAGCTCCAGTTGGTTCCTGAACTCTGAGCTGAGAAGCTTCTAGTCTCCATCACCAGTGGGTTCATCTACACGGGCTGTTTCCTACGAGCAGAACACCTCCTGAACCAGAACCCTGCAGAGACCAGAGGACCAGACGTCACCACGCTGAGCTGGACGCTGTAGCGGTGATCCGATCAGACAGACAGTCAGTGGAGCTGCTGCTGCTGCAGGACTGTGAGTCACGGTTGTGTCGGTCTGTTTATCAGACAACAGTCCAGAGCCGACTGCACAGTACAGAACAACGACGACCGGAAACAGGACAACAAACAGCAGCACATGCCTGGAAGCTAACCGTATTTCTAGCTTTGACTTGAATGTACAGACGTGACTCCATAATCGACCCTTAACAATCCTAAACCTGCTATCCGACAGGTTTGTAGGAAAAACCACCAGAACCCATAAAAACAGCCTTAACATAGCGACAGCCTTGGATTGTGACTCTGACATGACATTTAATGTCACCAATCAGGATGACGGCGTATTATCTGACTGAACAATCCCACAGATTGGCTACGTTCACACTGCAGGACTTGATGCTCAATGAGGATTTCTTTGTGACTTCCTTCACGTTTCCACGTTTTTAAATCCTTAATATATATCCATGTTTTATTTCAAATAATATAATAAATAATAATAAGAAATAAAATAACAATAATAATACAGTAATAATATTTTTTGCAGATTTAATATTACGGTCAGATGTGTGAAAGAACTACTTAGGAATTATTTTTAAAAATATATATTTTTATGTGGATGGTATTTACGATTTTCATCTGTTTTTACAGTCAGCGTGTAAACAAATACATTTTTTTCTTGATTTTATCTGTATTTTTTTTAACAGTAATGATAAAAAAATCCTTAATATTTAGAATTTTTTTTTACGTCTGTAAAAAAATAAAATGTTCTGATGATTTAAATTCAGCAAAAATGTTGTAAAAGGATGAATTAACAATAAAACATTTGTAATAATAATAATAATAATAATAATAATTGCTCACAGCTTCTGTCTGTTATTTCAATAACCAAGATGTGAATTAATATTGAGACTTTAACTACATATTATCAGTCAATTGACAAAACAGGGAATATCTGTGAAAGAATAAAGTGAAACTCGAGTTGATCTTCTCAGCAGCTTCATTCAGAGCCTCTCCATCCGCTCAGAGTTCAGAGAAAGTTCTGAGTTTGGCTTCAGACGAGTTCTTTGGGTTTTCTTTGGGTTTTCTTTGGGTTTCTTGGGCCTCATTAGCTGTATCCTCCGTCTATCCAGAAAAGGAGAACCGTGTCTATTTGGAGTCCAAACCGGAGCCACGGATCGGCGATGACGTTCTGCTCCGTGGACAACAAATGCAGTGTGAGCAAATTCAATGTGCTGCTTCTGGTCGAGCGGAACACAGACGACGCCTCCGTCGGACTCATTACCGGACCAGTCCGCTCTGCTGTTCCTCACAGAACCGGCGACTTGTCGGCTCAGAGCGTCTTGGATCAGACGTTAAGCTGCTTAGGTCGCTGCGGCGCCGCCTCCCCTCCTCTCCTCCTCGTCCCGCTCCGCTACAACGACAACAGGAAGTGATGCGGAGCGACATCCTGATCAATAATGGATGAGCTCCCATCCTGCCGCCGTGAAGGCAGCAGCAGGACGAACCCAGTGCTGCTGTTCTCTTCTACAGAACACCAGGGTAACGGGTCTACTGGTGGTTCGTACGTAACAGAGAGGAGGAAGGTTTACCGGTTCTACAGGTGTCCACCGGGCCGACGCACAAAGACACACACCTGAACCGGTTCTACAGGTGTCCACCGGGCCGACGCACAAAGACACACACCTGAACCGGTTCTACAGGTGTCCACCGGGCCGACGCACAAAGACACACACCTGAACCGGTTCTACAGGTGTCCACCGGGCCGACGCACAAAGACACAACACCTGAACCGGTTCTACAGGTGTCCACCGGGCCGAACCACAAAGACACACACCTGAACCGGTTCTACAGGTGTCCACCGGGCCGACGCACAAAGACATGACATCTGGACGCAACAACAAGCATCTGAAATCTAAAACACAACCGAGTTAGCAACCCCAGCTAGCAGGGAACATTCCCACAACGTTGGCTAACATTACCGACAAGTTCTAATAATGTTCTGAAGGAAACATGTTAATATATATCCCAAGAATGTTCTGTAACTTCACATAATGATCCTACCCAGCAAGCAGAGAATGTTCCCTACAAGTTCTATTAATGTTTTCAGGGAAACATTTTAATATACATCCAAAGAATGTTCCATCATTTTTACATAACGTTTCTACCTAGCAAACAGAGAACGTTCCCACAACATTGGCTACTTTACCTACAAGTTCTAATAACGTTCTGAAGGAAACGTTTTAATGTGATCCTTAAAGAGCATTTTAGAGATATTCATCATTTTGAATAACGTTCCTATCAGGTAGAAAGGAACGTCGGCGAAGATGACCGACAAGTTCTGCTAACACTCTGAGAATGTTTTCAGGATTTTCATCATTTCACATCACGTTCCTGAAGTTCAGTGGCAGGTTTCAGGTTTTTAGTTGCCACCAAGACAACCTGTGTCCCAGAGAACATCCTGAACGTTCTCGTGAGTCTCAGTCGACCAGAGACGAAGCTGCTGACGTGAAATCGTAGCCGCCAGTCAGCCGATCAGGAGGGAAAACAAACCTGCACTCTATCAGGCTGCTGGCGTTAGTCACAGGCAGCTAATCCAAAAAAAAAAATTTGAGTTTGGCGGTAAGGTTTGAAAACAAGTCCTGACAGAGTTTGAAAATGATGAAACAAGTCCGTGGACGCAGAACGAAAAACAAAAACCAGCACGGTCTCTGTTCAGGATCTTTTAAAGTCACAGTTTGTCTAACACACCAGATGTTCGACTACATACGGGTGGACGTTCTGGCCGTTCTGACCCACAATCCTCTGCTCGGTTCCACATCCTAACTGTGGAACATGGGCGGGAGGAAGGAAAAGTGTGATTTAGATCAACCACACTGAGCCACGGAGCTCTGAGGGAGTCCACCTGCAGAATACCGGCCGGAAAAATCCAGAACTAGCAGCGCATGAGCTCACTGTGACCTGGTTAGTTTCTACTGAAAAGTTCTGGGATAAAGATCTGATCAAACAGAAGAAGAACGGTGTCGCTAGAACAAGGTCGGCCACCAGGGGGCTGGGAGGTCCTCCTCTGCACAGCATGTACGAGCATCTATTAAAGGCTGCACACACTGCGACATCATACCTGCAGCTGCCAGAGAAAGATCCACCTGTCAGGTTTAAGATGCTGTAAGACATGATCAGCTATCAGAGTGCTGAGAAGATCACCCGCTAACAGGTCACAATTCATCCATCATCATGGTCTTTGTTTCACTGTTTCTGTTCGTTGTTCTTTTACGTGTGGGACAACGGATGGAGATCAGCCTGGTGCTCGTCCCGCCGTATTCACTGCAGCCTCGTGTAAACTGTTCAGACTGTGCTCTCATTAATATGCACCGTCCCGTCGCAATAAATAAAGGAAGAAGAGCAGCTGCACAAGACAAGAACTTGCATTTCACAGCATCTTCAATACTGTTTTAAACAGATTCATAATTAAATGCTAAAAAAACTCGAACATGAATTGTTTAGCGATTAAAAAAGCTCGCCATGTATTTTGTTTTGCACTAAAACATCATCATGACTCATTATAAGTCATTATAACACCACCAGGTCTGTAACCCTAACCCTAACCGGTAGAAGAACACGGCAGCATAAACACACCTGAGCCAGGTGTAAATGCAGGTGGGACGCGTCAGTGAGGCTAAAGCGTTCCTCAAACAGCTACAGGGTTCCTTCAGGTTCTCATTAACGTCATGGACGTTAGGACCAGCTGCTGTGACCGATTTCAGTCCAGATGTGGACAAAAACAACATTTTCCTTGTTTCTGTGTTAATTTGAGGAAAGCGTTGAATCATGAGTGAAGCTTCGGCGACATGACGATGATCTGATGACACATGGTCCTTTATCAGGCAGCAGGACACCGTCTGAGCATCCCAGCAGCGTCTCACCTGCTGGGCGCGTGGAGCCGGTGAAGGCCCGGCCTGTCT